TTACATATAACATATACAGGCAATCGAGAGAAGAGAACGAAAAGGTTAATGTGCGAACAAGACCCAGCAACTTAATACAATGTGAAAATATGTGGTCAACATGGTTGTGAAATCGGAGCTTAGAGTCGATTGATGAGTACTAACATAATATATGTACATACATATGTATTCAACTTTATAAGGAACTCTATCTATTGGCGACTTTAAGAAATTTTGAATGAATTGTGACGTTTGTTATAGTGAATGTTTGTAAATCGAACGTTCGTAAACCGAGAGTTGCCAGTATAGGAAATCTCAGAAGTAAGATGAACTCAGTTGAGTGTGTATATTCATTCTCAGACTTAAGCTTAGCAACCACAAGGAAGGTGGAAGTTCTAAGAGAAGCTCAGTTGCTGGAACAGTATTTATAATGGCTATGCAATTCTCTACAGTTTATTGAGTTTACCTCTGGAAGATTTTAATTTTATCTTATGTTACTAAACCATGGTAATATAATATTTATTTATAGTTTATTTCATGCCACTTTTTCAGTACCTCTGACTACATAGTGTCAGATGAGAGGATGATAGTGAAAGATGTAGAAGGAATTGGTCATGGCCTAATTTAAGATATTGTCCTGGCATTTGCCTGGAGGAACTGAGGAAACAACAAAATACCTCAGTCAGGATAGCCACTCTCCAGGCCAAGATTTTAACCTGGGACCTTCCGAATACAAAACAGGAGTGCTAACCATTTGACCATTACATTTGGTTATGGTGACAAAATAGTGAATCTTACGACCAGTGCTTTTCTATTGTGGTGGTATACACACCAATATGCAATACTAGCACCTTTTCCTCAAAATTTAATAGTGATGGTCAGATTGCATTAAAATTATCGCATAACCATATCATCAACATTTTTCTACAAAGTGTAAATAGTTATGTTTGTATGCATAATTGTTTGACCAATTACTTTTAGCATAGACCCCTAATACAAACTTTTTTAATCTGTTCGGTAATTTCAGAAGTGGAACATGTAGACAATATGGCACAATCGATGTGTGCATTCACTTATTCACTATGTGCAAGGATCTCTTAAAAGTCCCAGTTTCTGACATGAGTATGTCATTGTTATGGTTTCACCTTTAAGGAAGTAATTTCAGTATCTCCATGGTAATGCAGAATTACCCTATAAACTCATAGCAGTGGTTAGTGTGTAGATATGTAATGTTCATTTCTTTTACAGATGACATGGATAATTATATATTCCGGGTTACACTTTGAATGATCTACATATGAAGAATTTTTCATGGGTAAGGGAAGTTGATAGGAATGTTCTGTACAATATTTTATGTTGAAAACATCTGTATGAAGTTCATTAAATAAACTGTGTTGTAGACATATTTATTCTGAAATTTATATTGTGTATGTATGTTCATATACTTGACTATGTTGTGTTTGGTCCATAATGGGAGTATTTCTAAGAAATAAATGATATTCAAGTTGCCTGTTTTATAATTATTCCTGTTACATCACCCAATGCATGTTTGCAGTGAGCCACAATAGCTAGTAATTATGAGTACTGACGAACAACCAAACATTAAGTTCATGCAAATATCATTTCATTCACCGATACTTTCACAATTTGATTGCTTTAGTGTGAATGCACAGGCGATACGATATCGCATATTACCTATCGTCTTTACGTGTTTTGGGTGTGAATCTTGCCCATACTGCACCAAAATAATTCAAGGAATGTAAAGTCTGTTACAAACGACGGCGTCTTTTCATTAATTCGAATGTACAATGTAAAGAAAGTCTTGTTTCTGGACGACTTTCTTAACGGAAGTATCGAATTCCATTATTTTATTTATTCGAATTATTCTATCGCATGTTTGTGTTCTGTAGTTCGTATCAATTGTATTCGATAGTTGTCGATTGTTCCAAACCGAAACCGAGATCCACAGATTATAGAAGCATCATGGCTTGTGTTTTGTTCAGTAGAAATTTGTGTCTTCAGAAATTAATTTGTACGTTCCTTTATTACTTATACTTGCTAGAACTGGATAAAATCTGAATTATATGGAAGACAATAAGTTATTTGTTAATCCTAATATATTTCATACTGCAACGTATGGAGTCACTTAACCCTAACCTATATTGTTCGTCTTTTTGAACATATATCAATTCTGTTGTGTTCCTATGAATATTAGTTAATTTTACAGGTCTGAAGCAGTCTGTGTTGAAATTGGCTACAGTTACTGTTACTACTTCGTGTATCCTGCAATTGGACCAGAGGTGGAGGATAGAGTAAGATTAAAATTTTACAGAATATGTATAATTATGTACTGTATGACCAGTAAGTAAAGTATAGTGAATGTTTGTAAATCGAACGTTCGTAAACCGAGAGTTGCCAGTATAGGAAATCTCAGAAGTAAGATGAACTCAGTTGAGTGTGTATATTCATTCTCAGACTTAAGCTTAGCAACCACAAGGAAGGTGGAAGTTCTAAGAGAAGCTCAGTTGCTGGAACAGTATTTATAATGGCTATGCAATTCTCTACAGTTTATTGAGTTTACCTCTGGAAGATTTTAATTTTATCTTATGTTACTAAACCATGGTAATATAATATTTATTTATAGTTTATTTCATGCCACTTTTTCAGTACCTCTGACTACATAGTGTCAGATGAGAGGATGATAGTGAAAGATGTAGAAGGAATTGGTCATGGCCTAATTTAAGATATTGTCCTGGCATTTGCCTGGAGGAACTGAGGAAACAACAAAATACCTCAGTCAGGATAGCCACTCTCCAGGCCAAGATTTTAACCTGGGACCTTCCGAATACAAAACAGGAGTGCTAACCATTTGACCATTACATTTGGTTATGGTGACAAAATAGTGAATCTTACGACCAGTGCTTTTCTATTGTGGTGGTATACACACCAATATGCAATACTAGCACCTTTTCCTCAAAATTTAATAGTGATGGTCAGATTGCATTAAAATTATCGCATAACCATATCATCAACATTTTTCTACAAAGTGTAAATAGTTATGTTTGTATGCATAATTGTTTGACCAATTACTTTTAGCATAGACCCCTAATACAAACTTTTTTAATCTGTTCGGTAATTTCAGAAGTGGAACATGTAGACAATATGGCACAATCGATGTGTGCATTCACTTATTCACTATGTGCAAGGATCTCTTAAAAGTCCCAGTTTCTGACATGAGTATGTCATTGTTATGGTTTCACCTTTAAGGAAGTAATTTCAGTATCTCCATGGTAATGCAGAATTACCCTATAAACTCATAGCAGTGGTTAGTGTGTAGATATGTAATGTTCATTTCTTTTACAGATGACATGGATAATTATATATTCCGGGTTACACTTTGAATGATCTACATATGAAGAATTTTTCATGGGTAAGGGAAGTTGATAGGAATGTTCTGTACAATATTTTATGTTGAAAACATCTGTATGAAGTTCATTAAATAAACTGTGTTGTAGACATATTTATTCTGAAATTTATATTGTGTATGTATGTTCATATACTTGACTATGTTGTGTTTGGTCCATAATGGGAGTATTTCTAAGAAATAAATGATATTCAAGTTGCCTGTTTTATAATTATTCCTGTTACATCACCCAATGCATGTTTGCAGTGAGCCACAATAGCTAGTAATTATGAGTACTGACGAACAACCAAACATTAAGTTCATGCAAATATCATTTCATTCACCGATACTTTCACAATTTGATTGCTTTAGTGTGAATGCACAGGCGATACGATATCGCATATTACCTATCGTCTTTACGTGTTTTGGGTGTGAATCTTGCCCATACTGCACCAAAATAATTCAAGGAATGTAAAGTCTGTTACAAACGACGGCGTCTTTTCATTAATTCGAATGTACAATGTAAAGAAAGTCTTGTTTCTGGACGACTTTCTTAACGGAAGTATCGAATTCCATTATTTTATTTATTCGAATTATTCTATCGCATGTTTGTGTTCTGTAGTTCGTATCAATTGTATTCGATAGTTGTCGATTGTTCCAAACCGAAACCGAGATCCACAGATTATAGAAGCATCATGGCTTGTGTTTTGTTCAGTAGAAATTTGTGTCTTCAGAAATTAATTTGTACGTTCCTTTATTACTTATACTTGCTAGAACTGGATAAAATCTGAATTATATGGAAGACAATAAGTTATTTGTTAATCCTAATATATTTCATACTGCAACGTATGGAGTCACTTAACCCTAACCTATATTGTTCGTCTTTTTGAACATATATCAATTCTGTTGTGTTCCTATGAATATTAGTTAATTTTACAGGTCTGAAGCAGTCTGTGTTGAAATTGGCTACAGTTACTGTTACTACTTCGTGTATCCTGCAATTGGACCAGAGGTGGAGGATAGAGTAAGATTAAAATTTTACAGAATATGTATAATTATGTACTGTATGACCAGTAAGTAAAGTAAAATAAAGTTTGCCCCACTATACGCCATGTAGGCTTTTGGGGTGAGCGGAGGTATAGCTCCTCCCTTCCTTGACCTCGGCACTAGATGGGGGTTAGTGGTCAGCATCATGCCCCGGCCGGCTTTACCCCCGTGAAAGGACCCCGGTACTCATTGTAGAGGCGGCTGGGTGGGCCCCAGAGCCAGTCTGGACGCAGAGGCTAGAGGAAAAATCCTCTGCCCCCGTCGGGGATCGAACCCTGGCCGTCCAGCCCGTAGCTAGTCACTATACTGACTGAGCTATCCCGGCTCATACTGTATGACCAGAGCATATAAAACCCTTGGAAAGGGTCAGAGCTTTGCATTCGGTTTTACAGTGTAGGCGGTCTCTTCCTCACCCTTCTCCAGTAAGGAAGTTGTACTATTCTTCATGTAATTTGAGATTCCAGATTGTACTCAGATTTTATCTTATGGTGGTTTAACAGCATATTACAAAATTATAATGCTTGCTTTTATGCAGTGCTATTTATTTTGCATCTGCGAACATCCGTGTTTGACATTTTAGTATGCGTAGGTCTTTAAGAATCATTTATGTTACTTTTGATAACTGTAAAGTGACAATCGGCATAAGAGAAAGTTTGACTGCAGAAGAGGAAGAGATTTTATCAAAAGCAGTGGTGGAAGTGGAACTTCCACTCATATAGTTTTTATATGTTCTGATGTGTCAGATCATTGTCATGTATTGAGGTGTAAGGCACAGGATGTGTAATGTAAAACCTTATTTTATCTTAATGATACATTCACCTTTATGTAGTACTTATGTTTTTGGCTTTCCCATTGTCATTCTCTAAATCTGGTGTTTTGGAAATGATCTGTTTTTATTATGAATAGTAGAAGAAGTTTCCTACTTAATAGGACCATTTGGAAAGATCTAGCTTCAACTGCACACCATCATTAGGAATATTTAGATGGAGGCTCAGAATGTCAGTATTAATCTGGCGGAAATGTCACAACCAAATATTGTGTCGGGTTAGATGTAAGAATACTTTTTAAATTAAAATAAGTGCTTATGGACAAACAGTTAACATACTTCATGTCTTCTTTTGTAACGTATAAGTCACAAAGAAGAAATATTTGTGTGTTGTGTGAAGACAGTGTAAATAAACTTATAAATTTTAATTCACATGACATTCCTGTACAATCTGATCAGTCAACATATCTTAATGTAATAGGTAAAAACACATTACATAAACTTGTTTAGTTTAAAAAAAAGTAAAGCTTTCCTGCTACATGCCATTTAGGCACTTGGTGGGAGAGTTGATGTAGCTCCAACTCATTCTTAACATCAGCACTAGATTGGAGTAAGTGTCAATGTAATTCCACAGCCATGCTTAACCCCTGGGAAAGTAAGCTGGTACCCATTGGACAGGAGGCTGGGTGGGCCTCAGCCGGTCTGGACACACAGACTAGAGAAAAAATCCTCTGCCTCAAACCCTGGTCATCCAGTCTGTAGTCGGTCACTATACAGACTGAGCTACCCCAGCTCATTTGTTGTTGAGTATTTACCAAAATTATGTTGAATCATAGGAATATCGTTCAAAAGATAGCAATGAATATGGAACCGGCTGTCTTATCAATAGAGCACAGAAGAAGAAGGTTTGAGTTTGATTTGTTAACAGTTATGTTGGAGTCAGTTTAAGTTCTGTTGCTTGCAGACGGAAATTACCAGTGAACCCAAATACTTGTGGTATTCTAACAGACAAGCCGGATTACTCATATCTTGATGGCAGACCAGCCGAAATTGGTGTTGGAATGAAACGGAGAGTTGAGAAACAGAAGGAATATGCAGTAAGTATTAAATAGTTATTGCAGAAGTGTGCCATTAATTTCAAAACAACTTTGTAATATGAGCATCTGTATCATGTACCCACATGATCTTTGAAGTTCTTACAAAGTACATATTTTATTTTTATTTACTGACAACAAACAAACATCATTTAACCTGTCATAGTTGGAGATTCATAAAAGTTGTATCCTAACAGGACAGTAGCATTGCTACAGATATCTGGTGTTTAGTAGTGCAAGAAAACTAGATTTATGAAATTGGCCATCTTAGAAAGTGTTTGTCATGAACAAAGGTGTGTGAGGCAGACAGAAAGATGCAAATAGCATCTGCTTCATGCTTGAAGCAACTGAATATTTTATATACCAACTCTGTGAAGCTGATTGGCTCATGAGGGCATGTAACAGTAAATTTGAAGAGGTGTTAAAACTTGGCCACTGTCATTTATGTCAGTCACTTTATTCCTCCAGTCAGTTACAATTTATTATGAGGTTTTTTTGCACCAATCATTTTTCACTGTTCTCTCTATTTAACAGTATTGAACATTTTAAGGTGTTTACACACATTATTTTTCACTTGGTCCATGAGTTAATTTTAAGAATGCCTTTTTGACTTAAGTGACAGCCCATAGCAACAGAACTATTACATTATACTAAAATTTATTTGCATTTTATTCTTATACAAGAACATAAATTCTGGGCCCTTTAACCCTATAGTTTGCTGCTTTTGATTTTGCAACAGACCAGACTGTTCCATAGTTTGGTGGCCATGAATGTTAGGTGATGGTAAATTTTCATTAAGTGCTGCTTTAAATCAGGTCATTATTACTATTGTGTTATCAGTAAAAGGATACTGAAACCTAGAAATCATAATTTAAAAATTTCTGGACTTTTATTGTGTTGATATTACATTACATTTTAGTATTTTAGTTATTACTTTCATCTGTCCCTTCAGGAATTTTTATTGTTATTTGTAATTTCATTTTACCACTTTTTTGTATGTTTGTGTTTTCTCCATTAAACCACCTGACATGGCTGATAGCACAAGAAGAATTCATTATATTTAGTCTTCATGAAAGTTTCAGATTATACATTCTTTTATGTTGCAATCCTTTCTGACATAAAGTGACATTTTAGTTTGTATCTTGGTCAGAAAGCCCCACTAAGAAATCATATCAGTATCTGTACCTTACATAGATATTCGCATGGTGAATGTGTAGAAGGTACTACTGAGTTCTTTGTTATAAAACTTTATGTAACATACTCTTTGTTAGTTTAGTTGAGATATTTTGATTATTGCATTTCAGAAAAAGATATGGACACTGTCAAAGGAGATTGATTTTGCTGTAGAGAGACATAAGGCACTGGTGCAAGAGAAGAAAGAGGAAAGACAGCGGAAACTTGACAGCAAATTGAGGCCCAAAGGACACCTTTTATTAAAATCTAAAAAATAAATACAGAACTTTTGGATTTCTTTGTTGTTAGATTTGCTACAATTGGAAACAGCTGCATTCGTATGTACAGGTGCATGAATTGTGCAATTTTTCATCAAATGTATGATTATAAATATATTTATTATTAAAAATATTGGCCTTTGGAGAAGTTTTTTTTTAATTGGGGTTATTTTTACTTGGTGTATAACTGATAGCCATTATAGATTGTTTTCTAGGTTTCTAATGAAGGCCCCCCCACCCCATTTTTCCAGTAATTGTTGGGTATCTAAAAATAGTCTGAAGTAGCAGTGTTCTTACTTGTTTTGGCTGGATTTTGCATTCTGTACAGGTTATTGTAATGGCTTCCCACATGATTCTGTTCATGCATATAGTAGTTCTGTTATATAATCTGTATTTTTTTTGTTTGGTCTCAAAGAATCTTGCCCATTAATCATCACACAAACTAGTGCACAGTTTACTTCATTTGCTTTGAATGAATGTTATTTTTATTATGCTGTTTGCATGTTTTGTTACTCTTTAACCTATACAAATTTTTTCATCTAGTCATACAAAAGAATTTAAATGTATTTGTTTTTTGTTTTTAAAATATGTTGAAACTCTTTCCTTGTATTGATAGTCTTTCAAATATCAAAACAGTCAGAAGGAGTATTTTTTGGGGAGATCATTTCCATTTCTCCATCCATCTTTGTATATATCTGAAACCTCTGAATGGATTTTGATTAAATTTGGCACCATACATCTACACCAGATGATGTAAGGTGTATTTAATTGTAGTTGTTGCTGGTTCAGTACAACCCATGAAACTAAAAAAATATGTATTATCAGTTTCTGCATAAATTACTTACCAGATGTTCAGGTCAAGAAGTTAATAAATACTGCTGCTTTATATTCAGGAAGACCTTTAGAGTGAACCTTGGTCTACAGACCAACTGTCTTGGCTTTTTTATGGTTTACCTCAGTTTCTTCATGTAAGTGCTGTCATGATCAGTTTTAATAGTTCTTGACCATATCCTCTAAAATGTATCATTGTCACCGTACTGTTTGACATGATATCATAGCTAATAATCACAGTTGTACATTTAGCAGTGCAATAGTTCTATTGATTTGAGGGATAACTCAGGAATCAATATAAATTTGCTAACTGTACAACAAATGTGTATGCAACATAAAGTGCACATCTCATTTAGAGCTGCAGTTCTTATTTGGGGCATTTTGATAAGAGGTTCATTTAACAACGTAGAAGCAAAATTAACGTCTAACTATTACTATCAAATTTGAGACGTAGGGCTTGTGTTATGTATTCTGTATGTTCAGTGCTCATGGTGGCTAAGATGAAATAAATTTATTTGTATCTACATTAAATGAACATTAGGATCATACAGGAATTTAAATTTGCAAAGAGCACAATTAAAAATGTGTCCTCCAGTAGAGTGCACATTATCATCATAATTACTACAGTTAAATCACCTGTTTTTACATTTGCTACAAAGTGGAATAATTAAATTTTCTGTCATTATTACTTAAACACTCATTGTGATTAACATTTTTGATATTTTGTAAATGTTACAAAAGAAACAGTCAAGCTACTGTCACATAACTTTTTTTGACAAGTGAAATTTCAGGTTCTCACAGCGGCAAGTATGAAGACAGCTGTCTCCTGGGTTATTGTGCTATGTAGTCTGATAGAAATTTACCAACATTTCAGAGGCAGCAAACACCTATGAAACATCTGTAGTAAACTAATACCAGGCTACACAGTATAACAGCCCAGAAGACCGTCATCTTCATTCATTAGCAAGTAAATGTAAATCCATTCAGTAGAGATCAGACAGTTATTTGTTTGAATATTTTGATTGATTCTTAATTGCTTTTGATATAAAACATATAAGTGCTGAGAAATGAAGGCCAAGTAAAGACATGAAGGTTTGTCACAGTGTTCACAAAACCTACCATTAGACCATATCCTGATGATCCATTTATCCAGCATCCATTCTAATATTATCCTCTCTTGTCTTTGTAGGTTTCCTGAATGCTCTCTTTCAGTGAGGCTCATAAGTCAACACTTTATAAGCATTTTTGTTTTATCACATGCTACCTAAGTAAGTATCCACAGATGATGATCATATTCATTTGTACTTAGTGGTGTCATTAAGTATTTGCCAACATATTGTTGCTCAAATGACTAACAACTGCTTGTCAACTAGTTTTTTTACTTTACAAAGTTGTTAGGTATGATGTTAAATAAACATATATGTCTGATGTTTTTGTTTTTAATAATAAAAATACATTGTTAGAACAGCACTGGCAGTTTGTATTGTCCATGTAAATACACATACATTCTTACATACAATTATAATTTTTTTTTATTAGTTACAGGTGTACATTCACAGGATGTATATATGAAACTTACTTATTCCATTCCAGAAGCGTGTTTTTATTTTCACACTGCCTTGTGGCTTCAGTTTCCTGGAATCTGTACTTCCAACTTTGAGGTTACCGCCTTCCACTGTAGGAATTGTTTAAAATGCGAAAAATATCAAATTTAACATATCCCTTTACCATGAAGCCATATATGGAATGTGGAGATAAAACTCCACATATTCTTAACCTTTGTTGGCTTTATATGCTAGTTATCCTTAAAATAGGAAACATATCTCCTTTTACACACAGCATGGATGGTGTTTAGAATGCCCAAATGTTGAACATGGAGATAGTTAAAATTTAATAGTATTAAACCTTCTGGACATTTACAATAGCTCATCATGCTCTGAAATCATGTTACATATCTGTCTAGGAAATTGTCATGTTTTACATTTTTCAATTTTTGTGATGCTGATTTTAAAAGTATGTGCATTATAATTATTGCTATGCTTTATTGGCTCATGAGATTTTCAAGGAAGTCTTGTGCCTTTTCAGGCCTTCCCCCATACTACCTGGCCTACATATTGACTTGATTTTACTCTGTACATAGAGGAGTTATATTTCTTTAAATGTTGGTAACTCTCTTGAAGATTATGCAGCATCACAATCCAGAAGTCTACAATGTGCACTTTTTCACCATGAAAACCTAGAATTTTATTATATCGTATTAACTGATTCTATCTTCTGGAATCTCAGAACTAATTTATTTTAGAAGAAATTATCAGAAGTGGGTAAACTTGTTCTGTGCTTTCACATGTACTTATAAATTAAACATAAATATTGGTGTAGAATAATTTTTCTTGTTTGTCTGATAACAGTACTGTGTTCAAAATAAATAATTAGTTAACAGTACTGTTATTTTCACATAATTAGGTTGTAGTCTGTATATGAGAAACTTATGTAATAATGTAGCTGATTGCTATCTTTATTTATGCTAAAGTGCCTGACAAAAATGATGGTAGCTGAATTTTGGACACTTCTGTACATCTACTGTCACATCTCACGAGCCATTCATTGTCTGAGACTTGGTGTATAAAATACTCTGTTACTGGAAGCATGAGGCAGACACTGTTTATATATGTGTGCCTCTGCACCAACTGTCTTGCTTATTCCACCTTAATAGTTTTTAGTTTGTAATATAAATTTGTTCCATGTTGAGGGGTCCACAGCATGGCATGTCCTTAGGATGCAGATGGAGCATACAGCCTCCAGATATGGAGTTATTTATATAAAATTGTTCCTACAGTGGTAAGGGTATAGTTTCCCAGAATAAGTTGGTTCTGTACAAGATTTTTGAGTAACCTTGGCTGACCATGATATGGTTAAATGTTTGATAAAGTCAAGGTTATTACTTTGTGGAAAATTATCATAAAATCAGTAATAACATAAAAATATAAATGAAACTAGAAGGCACTCTTACATAGTCTAGTCGGTTTGACATACACAAACATTCACTTACTTTGTTTAAATTACACTATACAAAAGAGCTTAATTCTTTGTAAATTACTTAAATTAAAATAATCATATACTCTAAAGGGTTGTTCTTCTGGACTTTGTGATACTTGATAATGCTGTTATAGTTTCACAAAAAATCAGCTGTCTAATACAGACTTATGTTTAAACACTGTCTCTGAAATTAAGGGCAGAGAAATTATAGCATTGATATTAGTTTATTTCTTTAGCACACTTCATATTTCTTACTGTTTTTTCATTAGATAGATTATGTGAATGAAGAGGCAGTGCTTGAACTTCATCATTGGCGTTGTGTGCAGAATTAATATTATATTGTAATAATAGGCATGTTCCTTTTACTGCTTAAAAAGGAGGTCAGTTGTCAGAGTTGTAAGTTAATTCTTTGGAGCTATAGAAGTAGTGACTCTAGGAATCAGCAGAATTACAGTTAAGTTTTTAATTGCAATGTATTGTCCTGATTAACCCTTTGAAGCCGAGTGGTCTATATATCAAGTACTTTAATAATCAGTAATTATGTATTTTTCCCGTGAGTTACATTTACGGGTTTTATATGACTCAGTAAACAGCAGTTCTTTCTGTAAACAGCATTAAGCAACTCATTTTATTTGGGATAAGAACCAAATTTCTAAATATCCTCTGAATTAAAGAAGATGGCTGTCTTCTGGCTTGAAATGTCATGTAGTCTGGTAGAAATTTACCAACATTTCAGAGGTCCTTGCTGCCTCCATCATCAGGGCAGTGAGTTGGTAAACTTCAACCAAACTACATGGTGCTGCAACCTGGAAGACTGCCGTCAATGGACTTACCACTACGGAAACCTCAAATCCTACTTATCCTTTAAATTAACTTTGGCTTCAAAGGGTTAAAGATTTTTTTCAGTCAGCTGTTGCTCAAAACCAGTGTTCATTTTGTGAGAAAAGAAAGGTACTATATTGGCTTCAACAGGGCTGCCCTTCAAACCTGAAGAACCGTAATTTGTTACACTGAAATTGTTGATTAGCCTTTAATTAATGATTAGCTCAATGGGCATCTTCACTTCATTGAGATCCAAAAGGTAATGTTCTTATGTTTATTTAAACTGCTTGCTCCTGATGTGTAAAATCTGAGGTAAGAAACCCTTGTACCCACTGGAATGGAAGGTGGGATAGTCATTCAGGATATTGTTACAAAGAGAGAAATTCCTATAAAGTTGCTTTCTTGGCTTTTGTACATTGTCTAAATTATAAATATGTAAAATCATAATGTTTCAAAGGCTGGATTCTGCTTCCATCTTCATGTAAAATGGGAAAGAGGACAGAAATTCTATCTGTTGGTCCCCCTGGTTGAGCTAAAATCAGGACTAAAGATGGAATCAACATCCGAAATGCGATTACATTTATTATTTAGGTGATGGACTGAGCTCAAGGAAACAATTTTATAGATTACAATGTACCGTTATCAGAAACTTTCAGACTTCAGAAAAATTCCTGCCCTTGCTGGGAATCGCATCCATCATTCAGTTAATTTAGCTCACTGTGTTGCTAAGATATATATATATATATATGGTCATTGTACATTTCCATCATAGTTCAAATTCCAGTTCAAGAACTTTTCAGAAGAAAATCACTGGTCATCATAACATCTACTTGGAACTATATATTTAGTTGAATGACACTGCACGGTATATACGTAGACTTTGTATGAAGGCTGTGGAGTTGAATTGGAGTACAGTCCATCTTCTGTGGCTAGAGTATAGGTTTTAAAACATTTTTCAGTGCTTGTTAATTTATAATTCTAAGGTAACAAAGATCAGTCATAAAATATTGTATAAAATAGGAAGAAACATTACTGTTGGTTAATTACAGATCTAAAGAATATTCTTAAATATCTTATATTATTTTGCTCATGTTATTTTCATTCTAAACTAGACACTGTTGTATCCTTTTTCATACATGTTTATATCAAAATTATGGGTTGTTATTAATCGCTTTGTTTTCTTATATGATTCTAAGTTCTGAGTGTGGTGAAAGGCCAAATATACATCTACAACTTTGATTGGTTGGGCTTCTTCTGAGCTCTTGTTCCTTAAAATATGGTTTCTAGGCCATGCAATGTACCCTTTAACCTTTATCAGCTGTGCAGCATATTATGCAGTCTAGCTGGCCATATGTTACAGTATGCTGCTAAACAAATCACAGTATTGAAGTCTGGCCAACAGCCCTATATTGTAGAGGTCTGCACAGTCTGGAATTTTAGGATTCAGCCTCGCCCAATGACCATTTGGCCCATCCCTGAAGTTTACCTTCAAATACGTTACCTGTATCTCTATGAAGCCCAACTTCCTTTTATTCCAGCAAAAATGAACCCTGGTGTATGTACAGTCTGCCATGACTATCATTCAGAAATACACGTTTATTTTAATGTACAAATGACACTAATTGAATGAATTATTTGACTGTGCTGTAAGAAAATTTGAAGTTAATTTAATGTTTGATGTACCAACCAGGGATTCCCAGTAAACTTGCATGTGCAGTCCCATTGTAACTTGCTGGGCAATTCACAATGTACAAGTAGTGTCACATATATCTTTATGCTACTTCTTAATTGTGTGAGCATGATAGGAACACAACTATGAATAATTGTAAATGAAAAAGCCTGATATGTTGAAGTTGCTGTTATTTGAACAAGGCCTGAGCCTAAACATTATCTGTGCTCCCTGGCTTGCATCACACTAATGCTAACGCTGATGCAGACCTCTACCTTATGGGGATTTAAATCCCATATTCCCTTACAATAAAGGTTAAGGTAGATTGCAAAGGGATAATGGACATAAATGTCAGAACAACATTTTTCCACATTTTCTGGTTCAAGATGTAACATGATGCCTCCCACATATACTGTCACTTGGAGCCATGCGGCATAGCATTTGTGCTGGAATCTTTTGCAGAGCTCTTTTCCCTTTCATGCTACATGCTTTGTCCATTGGGTCCCCACATTAAGGAGCAGGAGTATCTGTTGAAATGCATTTCTGTGTCAGTTTTAGTCTTGCCTTCATCCATTTTTGTCAGTGTCTTGAATGTGACTGAATTATCATCTTTCAGAGTTCAGATGATTGTACTTCTGTTCTATGCTTCCCATGGAGCCATACCTGGAGGAAGAGGAGTTAACATCACTCTGAAATATTAGGGATAATACAGAAAAGTATGTTTTCTGATAATAAAATAGAATGGCATGTCATTCTGCTTTTTAAATGTTACAATTTTGTTAGTTGTTTAAATTTTACCCCTCTTACAATTCCCTCTGCTCCAGCCCAACCTAAACAAAATCTTGGATACATCTTCCATTCCACAACTTAATGTTACTACTGTTTTCAGTATCTTCATGAACATTTTAGTAATCCTAAACTTTAATTAATATAATTAGTGTTTCACTTTTTAAAGAAATTGATTTTTTTATTTTTTATTTATTTTTTGAATAAAGCACAGAAGTAAAGTTGGTTTGTTTCTGTAATAATTGGAATAGTGTGAATTTATCAAGAAAAGTTTTCATTGCAGAAAGTAAATTCACTGACAAGTCATATGTAATACTGCTTAAGAAACACAGGAAAGAAAATATCTTAGTGAAATTTACGCATCCACTACCTCCAGAAAAAATGACTTTGCTTCCAAAAGGCAGATCTTGTGCTGATAAGTCAATAATGACATAAAAATATATTGGTATCTTTTTGTATTAAAGTTCATATCTCAGTTTAAACTCAAGACAGATAATTAAATTAACAAATGAAGGAATATATGTGTGTGTGTATAAATCATTAATGAGTGCATAGTAATTATACTTTTGTTACAAAGTATATTTAACTTACTAATGTCAAGATTTTGGTTTTGAATTGAAGGAACCAAGCTCTCTTGTCTTCCCCAAGCAGTTACAGATAATGTACATTATTTTTATGTAATGCACTGAATTATCTTTATGAAAAGTAGCAACACTAGAAAGCACACAGAATAAGAGTAGAAAGTTGTACAAATTTAAGCATTGGGCACTGTATATAACTTAGTAAGTCATATTTATTGAAATATGGAGAAGTTTGTCATTTCCTGAGTTGTGTGTTTATGTTTTTTACCCTTTGTGCCATATTACCAGTTTGATTTTTAATTTATGCGGTATAATTAAAAGCCTCATTATTCTAAAACTAAAATTAAGTTTTGTGATGTCCTGAGTTTCATATATTGTACAGGTCTGAATGTCAACATCTTATTTGATTTTTATGCCTGTTTTTAATTACTCTATTTAGCTTCCAGAATGGTCTGAAGAAATAATTTCTTTATAAGCAAAAAATATTGAAGTAACACAAGACAGATTCATTATATCCCTCTGGGGTAAAGAATGCTTTTCTCTCGTTTTACTCTGAAGTATAGTTTGGGGGAAAAAGTTAACTATTTTCCACTTTTGTTTTCTGAGCCATTATATTCTTAGTCCTGTCTTGTTTTACTCTAATACTTCATTACTTTACTGACTATTATTTCTTTTTGGTTTTTCCACCCATCTTGCCATTTTTCACTTGATCATTGCTGTTTGTTCCTATGGCTCTCACAGAGTTTGTCATGTTTCCCACACAAGCAACAATATATGTTCCATAAATTTTGTCTCATCCATTAATTCCATTTGCAGATCTTCTGTCTGAACAGACAATGATTAATAACTGGGTATTTGATACTGAAGTGGAGTGTTCTATCTGGCATTCATATGGACAGTTAGTTCATTAACACAAAGTGTCTCTTCACTAGTAACTACAGAACGTGTAGATTCTCACAGTTCTTGAATTTGGAGTCTTCTTTTCCAAACAACCATGTGAACATCTGCCGAGCCTTCATGCTTGCACGCACAACACCTCGACTCTTGTACCAGTGTGCTGCTCCTTCCTTATCAGAAAGGTGTGCATGGACAAGCTTGAGCCGAATTTGGTTCAGGATCCCTACCAGTAGTTCATCTACATTGTGACTAATTCCTACAGAGATCTCAATGAACTTGGCGCGATATGTACATGCAAGGCATTTTCCATCTGAAACAAATGTGGGATATCCATCAGTTTGTTTGACAAACAGAACTTATGTCTAATGAGATATGAATTTTATAATTAAATTAAAGTAGTAATATGCATGTGGATTATCATTCTGTAATATATTTTGATTTCCATTTCCATTTAATAATGTAGATTCATATATCAAATATAGATATTGATATGTCCTTTTCATCATGAAACATCCCTGTCATAAGCTTACATGAGCCTATAACTGGACCCTGGTTTGAGTCAGTTGTATCTGATCCTCCTGTTATTTCCTGTTCATATATTTTCTTCAATACTTTATTTTCAATTTTTATTATTCCTTAAAGCAGGGCAGCAAGTTTCAGTTATACAAAGCAACGGATGTTCTAATCTCTAGGACTTTTAGCCAAATATTGAAATATAAAAGATCATGAGCAGAATGGTAGAATTTACCAAATTTCGTCTGCTGTTAACATGCTTTTGAATATCCTATATTCAAAAGCATGTTAACAGCAGATGAAATTTGGTAAATTTGCCCCTTAAGGTTTCTCCAACTTCAATGCCAATGAGAGTCTATACTAAAGGTTCTGGAAGAATTTAATTTTGGTTATTATTAATCAAGCTGGAATAGATTTTTATAATTTTTCATGAAAAAAGGCTGATCATGCAAAAAAGGTCTATGTAGACTTTTATTAAGATTTACATCTATTTGAAACAGATATTGTGAATGTTTAACAAGCACAAGAATAATTATTCTTGTCTTTCTGCAATGTGATATCTGTATTGTTATTAGCTTTGCAGCAATTAGTTAACATTAAAGTCACTGAGAATGAAAAATAACAAATTTGGAAAATTGGATGAATTGATTGCCATTCATGTTAATTTTTGTTTTAATCATTCTGTGCAGTTGGGTGAATTTTAACATAATCAATGATGACAACTTGCCTTGTGATGATACAGCTCGGCTGCGGACGAGGTCAACTTTGTTGCCCACCAAGATGGCTGGTCTGGAGCGCAGGAGTTCCCAGTCCTGTAACCGGGCAAGTTCAGTCTCTGCCCTCTGGAAGCTTGCTTTGTCGATTACCGAGTACATAACCACAAATGCATCTGGTGGGTTTGATCTGTCCAGCTCCTCCTGAAAACACAAGTTAGTTTGATAATTGTTTCTTGGCCTTCTCAGTAAGATTTACAAATTTTCTTTGAATCAGTTCTGTAAAATTGATCTTTGAACATTGTCCATAATCTAAATCATAAAATTATAAAACTACAATGTTTCATATGCTGGAATCTGTTTGTGAAACATTGTAGTCTTTTAATTTTATAATTTAGATGATAAAATGCAAAAGAACAATTTTACGTATTATAGCACAATGTCAGAAAACTTTAAACTTGACATCAGTCCTTCACTCCACAAGCCACATCTTGTTATACTGAAGTCTGAATAAGTGCTCTATTCTTATATAGTCCTATTCAAATAAATTATCCTTCCAGTTTTCAGTGGTTTTCAAAAGGATGCTGTGTGTACATGACCTTAGTAATGTGCTAATTTATTTGATGATACTTTCTCAACTGCTTAAATTATGGCTGTGAATGATGACTGCAGGTTATGGTCATGACCTGAATCTGCGAGGGTGAATTTCTATTGGTTGAGAGAGAGATTCTTTTTCCTTCATCCTGGTTGAAATACCTGGACTTTGCCCATTAGCCTATACATTTAAATGAATGTATTCAATGGGTAAGTAAGAATCTGTAGTTGAAGGCGTCTTTATGTAGAACATCATTATTTTGCAGCAACTTGTTTGTCATGTTATGCATTATATAGTGTAAATTAGAAACGACACATAAAACAATACCTGTTAGAAGATTTCTGTCCTCTGGGTTGTTGCGCTGTGTAGTCTGGTCGATGTTAACCAACGTTTCAGAGGTTATTCTGCCTCCGTCATCAGGACGATGAATATGCCAATAACAACCCAGAAGACAGAAATCTTCATACTCACCGCTGTGAAAACCTCAAATCTTACAATACCTGTTTATTCTCAGAGCAAACTAAACGAATAAATATACTCTCTGGGCAGCATGTTAGGCATCACTATGCTAAGTTGTGAAAATTTCTAATGAATATTTGTTCTCACTTGGAATCTTAGGTTACTAGAATTTTACTGTAGCTTATTTTAGTCTGTTTAGTAATATATAATACGGAAATATGCGTAACGCAGCAAATTCTGTATTGAATTGAATTTGGATTAAACAGAAACTACTTTTCTTAGATAGTGTCTTGAATTACAGAAAACTATTGAACATAGAAACGAGAAAGAAAAATAAGAATCTATTTGAACACAGACTGCTTTAGTATTTATTGATTTCTGATCATATAATTTTGTTTTATAATGTGTTTTTTTTATCCCCTGGGGCTTATTTGACAAGAAAATTGCATTCTCTAATAGGAAAGATCTAAGGCCAACCATCTTCAGAAAGCAACACAATAGTTACATTCCTGGAAAACTGTGGAAAAAATCATGTTACAGAAACCACTGGTTCAGTTGGAATGAAAAGGTCAGGGTTAAAGAGCTGAAATTCAGCACCACAAATGTAATTTTTCTGTCGTAGTCATATTACACGGTATACACAAAAGAATGATGCGGTTTCAAAAGTTAATAAAAAATGTATTTCTCACCTTACACGGGCACAACATACACCGTCAGCGGCGGCAACTGTCCAATTTTCTCATGCATTACTTACAATCCTTCAATGTATGCACCCTGGGTCACACGACACACATCCACACGGTAATCAAACTCATCCCAGACCCGGGCTGTGGAAAAACACGATTGAGAAGCACTCGTACATTCCTGTGAAAATGGGGGGGAGCTCCGTCCAGTTGTAGAATGTAATCGTCATAATTTGTATTCAGTTGGGGTAACAACCAGCTTTCCAACATGTCCAAAAATGAGTCGCCAGTCACAGTTGCACCATTCTTTTGTGTATATCCTGTATTAATTTGAATGCAGTGTAAGTGTTTTATGCTAATTTTTAAGAGAAAACAATGAAAAATGGAGCCCTTTTCATACCTGTGTTTGTGTTTTACTTCTCTGAATTTATTTGCTGTATGTACAAAACAGTTTAATGGACTGTTGAAAGAAGGAAGAGAGGGAGAAAAAAGGAAAGAATGTGGTAAGAAAATAAAAGTAAAATCATAAGTATACGTGTTAAATGGAAATATTGTTTAAAACATAAATAATTAGTTGTGTACATGTGAAACCTTACATATTCTCTAGGAATTATATTATTTGTGTAGCATATATGAAACTGCACAAAATATATCAAGTAAAATATATTATTACATGCCAGAAAAATGAAATAATACCTCTTACCTTAGTGTTTGCCAGATTAATGAAACAAAGTTCAGATTCTTCACCATTCAGCATAATAAACACAGATTGTTCTTTGGGTGCATCTGAAAAGAATAAAAATTAAATGCAAAAAGTCTTATTCCATCCACTGAGATGTAGTAATGAGCCCAAAGTAACACAGCTTAAGTCCTTCACGTCAGCAAACCAACGGGTAATGATCAGGTGCCAATGGGTAAAGGTCATTTTGTATATTACATAGTTAATTTTAAGTTGTGATCCGATTTGCTTGGCCCAGTGGCCTACCTGGCAAGGGGCACGCCGCTTGGATTGTGGACTAAAATAAACTCCACTTGCCGACACAACATATGTTTTTGAAGTAAAGTGTTGCTATTTTTTCTTTTTCTCTTGTAACATATGGTGCAATATGGTTCTAAAATTAGATGCCTTATTTTTTAACATATCAGTTGAAGAGTTTAAAAGTTTGGAGGTCAGAGTCTCATTCACATGAATGGATTAGTTGTGATTTGGTTGGTTGCCAGTTTTTCTGATGTTGTAACATCAAACATATCTATTGCTTATGTTAAATGGCTGTTAAATTTAGCTGACAAGCCTTGTCTCTGTCTCCAAAACTTTTTTTTTTGGTACTTTTCCCATACTTAACAGTCTGTGAAAATGTTAATATTACTGGGGTCAAGCTATATGTTTATTAAACTGTGAGGGGAAACGAGCCTAAAATGACATAATTTGTTAAAATGACACCTCTGGTTTTGACAAATATATCCGTGGAATGATTTTAAATTTTGCGCCGTTAGGTTGGTCGTATTTCTACTCCAGTGAGGAATGGCGTGTTGAAAGAGCGGGGTTTACAGGCTTGGTGTGCAAATGATGTTAATTGGTGTTTCTCTTACGATTTTGTAGCCACAGTTCATCAAGATTGGAAGTGTGATTTGTGATCAGTTTATTGACGCACTTATCTGGTGAAGATTTCGAACGTAAGTCATAATTAATATAAATTTCTTCTTTCAGTGTGTTATGTTGTTTTTAGATTATGGTTTGGAAAACAAATGCAGCCAACTTCGGACAAATGATTTTGTAGGTTTGTTTCCGAATTGTGTACACATACCTAACAGCACAGAACATGTTCCTTTGATGCTCGATTCAGTGTTTTCAAACTGGCCTGTGAAGAAGTTAACTTTACTGTATTTTGAACTTTATTATTTGTTTCGGGTTGTTTATTTCGTTGTTAATAGTAAGATGTTGCTTTTGCTGTATTACAGTGCCCTGTTATCTGCTTATCCAATAGCCCAATGCCGTTCATCATCATTAGTTGCATGTCCCATTATATTTATCGGTAAACATAAGGCAAGTTCACGCGAAGAGTGTAAATGTTTTTCCTAGGATACGGTCTAAAAACACAGACTGTGGACATTTTGATAGACTAGTACAGGGTGGCTTAATCGTTTTCCTCACTCGGGCCAGAATAGTTTTCCTGTTGGACCCAAGGGCCAAGAAACCCCCTGTCACTATTTTTGCATTGTCGTTACCTTTAATAATACTTGTTCAGAAATGACAAATTACCATTGCATATGGTGAAATAGAAATTATATTTAAATGTTCACAAACTACTACAGAGTTTTATATTATTTTAAATTTGCTTCTGCAATAGCTTGTATGTCTCACAATGTTTACTTGAAAAACTTGCACAAAATATTTGAATTCCTCTACTTTTACAGCTTGTACCTGATACAATGACAATTTGTACCAGTAGAACGTACATCTTATGCTTTTAAAGTCAATGGCTTTAGTGAAAGCACTGAACAGAATGTTCTTTTACCAGTGACGGAATATCAACTTCGAAAACAATGCCTTAACACGCTGTATGTTACATTTTTACTTCTTCAGAAGTTGCTGGCACGAAGTATTTCTTTCATACATCGTAATGTCGATGTTATTTTTACTTGCGTGTGACGTATGATTGCTGTGTTAATCCTGTACACAATGCACAGGAATAATGGAATTTCACAAATACGTATCTAATGAATGCATTTCGATTAAATTTAGTTTTTCATAAAACGCAGGTTTAATTACGGTCTGTGATTCCATTCCCAACATTTTTCGATGTGGAAAATATTTAACAGAGAACAGAGACAAATAATTTAATCAGTTCAGTGACGATATAATAATGGTGAAACCTGAATTAGGTTATATCATTAATTTCATTTATAGTCTCTTCTAGTCGATAATTCAGTTGTTTTCAGCGAGTTGATGCCTGGTTGGAAAATAGATTTATGTCTACAATCATAGATTTTTATCAATAATAAATTAATTTACGCGCCAGTGAGGCAAACAAAATCTCAAATAATTGTAATGCAAATTTCTATAGTAGCTTCATTGGTCATTTCTGCTCCTTATTTATTTTCTTTCTGCTATTTTGAGACACTGTTGCTGGAACTCCGTGTGATGCGGGATGCAGAGATATAAATGATCTCAATGCTTCTAGCATTCAGGTCTGTCTGTCTAAACCCCGCAGAGAAACATGCCCTGGAGTTAAATTCTTGCCACATGCATGTCTCTTCTGCAATGAAAAAACTCCATATTTCCGATCCCCAAACGTTCTGTAATCGGGGGTGAAGCGTTCGTGATAACTTTGATAAATGAAAAATAAAAAGTCTTCTGTCTTATTATCGTGGTTCAGTGATACTGCATACACTGAAATACAGCAGAACTGATCAGTTAAAATGTAAAAAGTGTCGTTAGCCAGCTCCAGCCAGTAAGACGCTTGCCGCTAGCGTAAGCCTAAATTAGCTGGCTAACGATACATTTTATGTTATCGATTATTCTGTGTTCCAATGTATAGAGTACCATTGAATGACGAAAGTAAAACAGAAGAATTTATTTTTAGTTTTTAAGTGTTAGCCGAGCTAATACGGTCAACATGAACGTTCGATTCCTAATTATTATTTTCTGCAAAATATCACTCTGTACTTGAGCAAAGTGAAAGGTTCTACAGAACTAATTAATTAAAATGAAAGTATTTTACTTTAAATTACACATTTAACCGCCAATAATACTATGTAGAATTAATAACAGGTATGTAGGCGTATGTAATATTGTTTTTGGTAATTAGTTGTTTTTAACAGTTCCATTTTTGTTTTAAATGGACAGGTATGTGAATGAAGTGAACGAATATTGGTAGTGACAAGACTAAGTACACTTTCTTTGATAAACCGGGAAACCCCCTTAACTTTAGCTGACACTTCCTGGCAGACTTACGCCTCACATAAAATTAATTGACCACATTTGAGATTGCTGTATATAAATTCGTCTTATATTCCTTAATTAAGTAAAGATAAGTAATGGCATTAATTGTTTTGTCATGAAACATTACTTAATTTTGGTTTAAATAATTTACTTTGTAGAAACAACGCACCGATATGTGTCCATACAACACAGAAAAACATGTTTTGCGTGTCAACTCTTCGCAGGTTTTGTTAAGTAATGGTTTTAATTTTTGTATCCTGGTTTGTTAAACTTTTCAACAAAAACGTGTTTGTTAAGAACTAATTTAGATTTTCCGTTCATTGTTTACGGACAGTTTTTTTTAATAAATTCGTATTATAGCCATAGACTAGGTTACTGTAGCGGTTGTATTAAGGAGCCAAGCGTCTCTAGTCTAGGCCAGTCTGCGTCTCCACGTGATAGCGCTGATATTGTCTTGGAAATAAGCCAGGACCTCCTAGTTTGAAATCGGTGTAAAATATAATTATTGTACGCACTGGTGCAGTGAGACTGCTTTCGATCGCCCAGCTAGCTAATCGCTTAACCTCTCAGGCGGTAGACCCAGACGAACCTCCCGCCACGAGGCTCGTTGAGATTCGGGCTAAGAGCGGAACCGACAAACCCACAGCCTAAACAAATTAAAAATAGAACTTGCCCCGATTCCAGCAGATGCTACAATCAATCCCCGTTGTTTCGCACGGATTTCTGGCACCTGCACCGTTGAAGTTCACGGTAACTGTTACGTGATTTTCACGGAAAAATCTCCAATGTATTTGGGTGTATGGTTATTTTCAATAGATCTGATATAATGTAAATCAAATTAGTGTTTACAGTTTGGAACTTTATGAAGTTCTAACGCTTTTTATACGAAAGGCAAACAAATAAATGGGGCCATAACATTTAATTATTACAATTGTGTGATATATTCTGCATTTTTATAAACAAATTAAAATTGGTAGTGAGGAAATCTGAGTTTACACGTTCATGATTGATAAAGACGTAGTTTCTCGCGTTAGTATTACGCAACTTCAGTTTCCACACTGCAAATAAAACTTTTATATTCTATGGGGCCATGGCATAAAACATGTAAGGAGAAGGTATTGAAAATACGTGACAAAATAATCTGTGCTGTGAAGGACAGTTGAAAATAGTTTTATAAAACCCTCTTCAGTTCCCTGATGTTAACCAGAATACGAACTCAACATAAACGAATATTTGCTGTAATAATGTGATATGCCATATACCGTATAACCTATTTATCTCATTTTGCCGCTCTAATTTATTGTCGCTAATAGGATACAGATGCCAGAACAAATGAATGCGAAAGTAGAGATAAGCTGCTATAAACTCTTTCTATTGACTAGGAATGAATGAACTCAACTGTCCGCAATAAATTTGCTAATCAAATTAACACCTCTCGCTCTCTACAGGCCTTCTTGTCAGCCGTCCTCACCCCTTTATTGTTGTCAGAGATTTACAAATCGTTATTGATTAGAATTGTAGTACATGTGGTCTGTAATTCTAATTCGTAAACGGACTATTATGAATGTAAGTAGATAGAGGACGATCGACATGCGAATTGCCAGAACTTAGAGCATAAAGCAAATCATGTGTGAGTAAAATTTAATTTGGAACAGTATTTTAAAACAGAGTGGCTATCCGGTTACCGTAACATAGGAAAATTGTTCTGTTGGCCATGCCTATTGTTTCTGAATTAAAAACATGTATGGAACAAGAATAGCCACGGTGGTCTAGCGGTTAGAACGCTGGCCTTGTAATCCTGGGGTCTCGGGTTCGATTCCCGGCGGTGCCCGAATTTATAACT